AGAAGCCAAATTGCTCCAATAAAAACAAAAACAGGGCTGGAGAGATGTGTAGGTAGAGTTTTCCTGCCTGGCCCACAGTCAGGACAAATCTCTCTCACCTGCCAGTCCCACAGCCTTTCAAACCCAACCAAGTAAACACAGAGACTTATTTTGCTTACAAACTGTATGGCCGTGGCAGGCTTCTTGCTAACTGTTCTTACAGCTTAAATTAACCCATTTCTATTAATCTATACCTTGCCACGTGGCTCGTGGCTTACCGGCATCTTCACATGCTGTTTCTCATCGTGGCAGCTGGCAGTGTCTCTCTGACTCAGCCTTCCACTTCCCAGCTTTATTCTCCTCCTTGTCCCGCCTACACTTCCTGCCTAGCCAACGGCCAATCAGTGTTTTATTTATTGACTAATTAGCAACACATTTGCCATACAGAACATCCCACAGCACTTCCCCCTTTTTTTTTCAAAAAGGAAGGTTTTAACCTTAACAAAGTAAAATTACATATAATTTGGGAAATTGGGCGTAGCTTCTCTTACTACTTCCTGCTGGAGGGGGGCGCTGTATCTTATGGGGAAGCAAAGAAAATTTTAGGATTATGGAATAGTCCATGAGGCTGTATCGTCTGAGCCAGATGCCTTCAAACCGTTCTGGATGTTGGATCATCTGGGCCATGGTGTCATCGGAGACCTTTCAGGGGGTCTTGGCTGGTCACACCTGATGTATCTTAATCTGGAACAAATCCATAGCCTCTGGCTTTCTGTGGAAACAAAAGAGACTCTTTTCCAAAGCAATATATCCTTATATCCAAATTTTGAAGTCAAGGTATCTTTAAAATATATATATTGGTTTAACTCAACAGCTTTTACAATCAAATGTTTTTCTGCAGTTAAAAATCCCAAAGAAAACACAATCCAGATTCTCTGTGTAATATCCATTTTTACGTGGCTTATTTTTTATACTACCTTTACTGTCTCTTTAAAGACTTTATTTTTTAAAACTATGTATTTGTTTCTATAACTCTATATATCACCTTTTTTGTCTCTTTCAAGCCTACGTATCTTTTACACACATTGTAAACTATTACATCTGAATCTGTCTTATTGTGAATCTCCTGCTTTAAACTGCAGCAGCTGTGGCTGCTGGCTCCGCCCACCTCAGCTTCCCAACATTGGCAGTGGTTTACCGCCAGCTCTGGGAGCTATCGTGGGTCTATGCTTTTATCCAAGCAGCAAGTAGCCCAGAAACCCTTTTTTGTTTTGCACTAGCAAAGGCTAAATCCACCATGTAGCTTAATGTGCCACTTGCAGAGGCCTCATTCCCGCCATACTGCAGGTCGAGCACGCACTCTAGGAACCCACCAGTAGCTCAAACAGGCAGCTGCCGCTCATTTGAGAGAGACAATTAGGAAGCTGTTTTTAGCTCCGTTTTAGAATCTTTTTTTTCTCAGTTTTTAGGTGGAAACTCTTGCCACCACGTTGGACGCCATTTGTAGGTAGAGTTTTCCTGCCTGGCCCACAGTCAGGACAAATCTCTCTCACCTGCCAGTCCCACAGCCTTTCAAACCCAACCAAGTAAACACAGAGGCTTATTTTGCTTACAAACTGTATGGCCGTGGCAGGCTTCTTGCTAACTGTTCTTACAGCTTAAATTAACCCATTTCTATTAATCTATACCTTGCCACGTGGCTCGTGGCTTACCGGCATCTTCACGTGCTGTTTCTCATCGTGGCAGCTGGCAGTGTCTCTCTGACTCAGCCTTCCACTTCCCAGCTTTATTCTCCTCCTTGTCCCGCCTACACTTCCTGCCTAGCCAACGGCCAATCAGTGTTTTATTTATTGACTAATTAGCAACACATTTGCCATACAGAACATCCCACAGCAGAGATGGCTCAGCAGTTAAGAGCACTGGCTGCTCTTCCAGAGGACCTGAGTTCAATTCCCAGCACCCACATGGTGGCTCACAACCATCTGTGATGCGATCTGGTGCCCTCTTCTGGCCTGCACACATACATGCAGACAGAATACTGAATACATAATAAATAAAATAAAAAAACAAACAGCTGAAACACGCCTTTAACTCCAGCTCTGGGGAGGCAGAGGCAGGCAGATGTCTGTGAGTTTGAGGCCAGCCTGGTCCACAGAGTGAGTTCCAGGACAGCCAGGGCTACATAGAGGGTACATGGAGAGACCCTGTCTCAAAAAAACAAAACAAAACAACCAGGGGCTGGAGCTATGGCTCAGTGTCAAGAGCACTTGCTGTCTGGCTGAGGACCAGAGTTCAGTTCCCAGCACCCACGTCGGGTAGGTCCCAACTGCCTGCAACTGCAGTTCCAGGGGATCTGACACCTTGTTCTGGCCTCCTACAGCACCTGTATATTTACATAGACACAAACAAACAAATGTAAAACCAAAACCAGTCCCTAGTAGAGAGGATCAGAATGAGAGTCTTTGCATACTTCTGTTACTACAGCAGCATTATTCACAATAATCAAAGGAAAAGCAACCCAAATCTATATCTGTGGATAAATGGAGACAGAAAAGAGAGTAGCTACACACGATGGAATATTATTCAGTCTTTTAAAAGGAACCCTGGGGCTGGAGAGTTGGCTTAGTGGTTAAGAGCACTTGTTCTTATCAGGGATCCAGGTTTGATTCCCAGCACTCACATAAAGGTTCACCACTTCCTCAGACACCAAACTTGCATGTGGTGCACAGACATACATGCAGGCAAACACTTACATGAGTAAAATAAGTCTAACAAAAAAAAAAGTTAAAAAAAAAAGAATCCTGAGCGGTCGAGCCAGCTGAGTAAATCAACGTGCTTGCTGCCCAGCCTGACAATCGGACGTCTGTCCCAAGGACACACATGATGGAAGGAGGGAACTGACTGCACACGTGTGCCATGGCACAGGCATGCCCCCTTCCCTGCTGCACGGGTGAAATAAACAAAATTTAGCTGATAAAGAAAAAGCAGCGGCAGAGTGGTAAGCGCCAGGGAGCGGGGAGAGGGAAGCATTGCTGTTTTATTTTTCTGTTTCTTAGAAATGTTATGTTCACTGGTGTTTTGCCTGCATGCATGTCTGTGTGAGGTTGCCAGAAGCCCTAGAACTGGATTTATAGACAGGTGTGAGCTGCCACGTGGGTTCTGGGAACTGAACCCCAGTCCTCTGGAAGAGCAGCCAGTGCTCTTAACCGCTGAGCCATCTCTCCAGCTCCCACAATTAAAAGCGACATTTTTGTTGTTTGTTTGTTTTCGAGACAGGGTTTCTCTGTGTAGTTTTGGTGCCTATCCTGGATCTCACTCTGTAGCCCAGGCTGGCCTCGAACTCACAGAGATCCGCCTGGCTCTGCTTCCCAAGTGCTAGGATTAAAGGCGTGCGCCACCCTGCCTGGCTTTAAAAAACGACAAATTTTCATATTACATTTATTCATTTGTGTGTGTGGACATATAGGTATCACAGCACACATGTAGAGCTCAGATTCCGGTTTTCCATGTGGGTCCCAGGGACTGAATTCAGGTCAAACAGGCTTGATGGCAAGGGCCTTTGCGTTGAGCCATCTCATCGGCTCTAAAACCTTTTTAAAAACTCTGTAGTAGAAGACTGGTGAGGAAGGGTGTGGTGTGGTGGTCTGAGCAGAGGCCCAAAGCTAATCTGCTGTCAAGGGCAGAGTGGGCGATCTCAGAGAGGTCCTGGGGCCGGGAGGGGAGGTCCTGGGGCAGGGAGGGGAGGTCATGGGGCAGGGAGGGGGAGGTCCTGGGGCAGGGAGGGGAGGTCCTGGGGCAGGGAGGGGAGGTCCTGGGGCTGGGGAGGGGAGGTCCTGGGGCGGGGAGGGGGAGGTCCTGGGGCGGGGGAGGGGAGGTCCCTGGGGCGGGGAGGGGAGGTCCTGGGGCGGGGAGGGGAGGTCCTGGGGCGGGGAGGGGAGGTCCTGGGGCCGGGGGGGGGGGGGGTGGAGGTCATGGGGCAGGGGAGGGGAGGTCCTGGGGCAGGGAGGGGGAGGGTCCTGGGGCAGGGAGGGGAGGTCCTGGGGCAGGGAGGGGAGGTCACGGAGCAGGGAGGGGAGGTCCTGGGGGCAGGGAGGGGAGGTCCTGGGGGCAGGGAGGGGGAGGTCCTGGGGCAGGGAGGGGAGGTCATATGGGGCAGGGAGGGGAGGTCATGGGGCAGGGAGGGGGAGGTCATGGGGCAGGGAGGTGGGGGAGAGCTACATCCCAGGGGATTCAAGAGAACTAGGGAAGGGGACCAGGGAGGCTATTGGACCCTCTTTGGTGGTCAGTGGTCATAGGAAAGGGAAACCAAGTACAGACTGATAGATCGAGCTATGGAGAAGGGTTATGGGCTTCTCCGTTTTGGGTGTTTTGAGACGTTCTTCTAACCCAGGTTGGCCTCAGTCTCACTATGTAGCCAAGGCTAGTTTTCAGCTCCTGGTTCTCTTGCCTCTGCCTCCTGAGTGCTGGGATCACAGGTGGGCACCCCTAAACCCGTGGGCACCCCTAAACCCGTGGGCTCAGTTTTTCACGGTGTGTGCACACTTGGAGTCAGGAGGGGGGAGCCAGTTAGGTGAGGGAGAAACTTGCCGGGAGTCAGACTACAGAACAGAGGGGACAGGCGTTAGCTGCAGGCCAACATGTGACTTCCTGGCAGAGGGAGGAAAAGGCAGTGTGGGGGTGTGGTTAGAACCTGTCTTGTCAGCTGTGCAGAGGGATGTGGCCAGGGTGGGGGTGGCTGGGGAGTAATCGCTGCTGCTGGGGACAGAGCTGAACTGGAGTCACGAAGAGCGTGGGAGTGCCGGGGACAGCAGGTGTGGCAGTCACAGTGTCTAGCAGGCACAGCTGAGACCGGTCCACGCAGTCCTAGCCCTGCCTGGCACACGGGGAGGGTCGGCCGGGGCAGGCTGGGGCTGGCAGGCAGGAGCTACAGAGTGCCACCCGAAACCGAGTCCTCCACACGGGCTGTCCTGGTGGGAACTTGGCCACGACAAAAACAGCACATCATAAGCTTTGTTTAAAGCTTATATCTTTTTTTTTTTAATAAAAATAAATCGTCTATGACAAGCAGTTTTCTGAGTCAAAACACGCGGAGTGGAAGGAAGAGTTCAAGGGGTCAGCCACACTAGCACGTGAACAAGGCTCAGATTATGCCTGCCATTCTAGCCAGGCCAGAGACAATAACAACCTGTCCAAACTGAAGCAAGAAGGAAGGTGGTCAAACTTCAGAAAAGACTTCCCAAACAGTAGGGCATGATTGGTAAGGGGAGCACAATCTTGGAGCCCCTGGGAGAATGGGGGGCTGGTGTTCAAAGCAGCAGCTGCATCCAGAGTGGCATCTTCCAGGATGGAGTTTGCAGGAACAGCCCCCAGCTTGCTCAGATGCTCAGGTCTGTCAGCACAGATTCCTGGACAGCCACACCTTTCAGGGTCTCCTGGAGCTCTTGGGATTGGTTGACCAAAACTGAAGAATCCTGTCTGGCTCTTCCTGTCCCGGCAAGGGTGCAGGTATGGAGACAGTCCATGTCCATGTGCTTACGGAAGAGAGTCCCATAGGGAAGGCCCTCCTGGGTGCCGTGAGGCTCTCCTGGGTGCTGTAGGTGATCCACAGGAGCAGGAGAGCCTCCCACCCTAGTCACAGTGCACTGTACCTGGCCCAGGCGGCGTGGCCAGGGGCCTTGCTCTGCCCACCTCCCACCTGTGGCCCCAGTTTAAGCCACTTCAGTGCCTAGATGGTTGTTGTCAGCATCTACGTCACTGGCAGAGGTCCTGTAGTCCTTGGAGGGCTGGAGATGCTGTTCCCCGGCTCAATGGGGCCTTTTCCCTGGGGGGTAGTGTCCCCACAGCCCTGAACCTTGCCCCGAGCCCGGAGTGCTCCCAGTGGGGAGGCAAGGAGGAGAGTGAGTGTCCCTAAGAGCACTATGGCCAGGAGGACAGTGACGATGAGAAAATGGGGCCAGTAGGACCGCTGGGCAGCCAGGGAAGCTCCACCACCGACCCTGGTCAGTGGGACTTGCACTCGTTCCCGGGGAACGCCGGCTAGCTCGGGATCCAGGGCCAGGGGCTGGTCTTGGCTGTCTACCCAGTAGGAGACCACAGGGTATGAGTAGCCATTCTCCGTGGCCACACACTGGTAGAGGCCCCAACCACCATCCTGAGGCAGCAGCAGGAGGGAGCCTTGTAGACGGTAGAGGAGGCTTCTGGGACTGTGGCCCTGCCGTGACTCCAGTGGTAGGACGCCAACGCTGACAGCTGAGGGCAGGGCAGCTCCAGGATGGAGTTGGGGACTGCCAGGACTTCTTTAACTGGAAGGTCAGCAAAGAAGCGACATGTTCAGTGGGAGGGAGGCTTGAAGGCGGCAGAGACAACCTTACTGGCATCTGGTCCCACTCTGTAGCCTGGGCTGGCCTTGAACTCTTGGCAATCCTGATGTCTAGGATTATTGGTATGGACCACCATGCCTGTCTGTCTTCTGATTTATTTCAACTCCCAAACTCAAGTCTCACCCCATCTCGATCTCCACGTTAGACTCCAAACTAGCCACACACACACACACACACACACACACACACACACACACACACACACACACACACACACCACCCGTCTTTCTCCCATCTAATGTCTAACCAGGTCCAACCCTTAGCTTCTGAAGTCAGCCAAGATCTGGCCTGTTCAGCATGTTGGTGGTGACTATAGACCAGCCTCCAGAATTCCTAATTCCGGCTCAGACACCAAAGCCACGTCCACCTCAACCTGGATCCTAGTGTGGCTGCAGCTCAGAATCCCTCTCCTATCCACAGCCAGGTTCCAATCCATCCTGACTCAGGAGGGATTTAGCTCTCAGCCTAGGCAGGTGCTGCGGAAGCCACTGAGGCATGCAAGCCAGCCCCGCCCAAAGCCCCCAGTGCCACGGCACCTCTTCCAGCCCCACACTCACTAAGTTGAGGGGGGCTCTGACGCCGGGGGCTCCTGGCCATGGGACCACGGGCGCAGGCCCATTCTGGGTTGCCTCGTTCCATGTCCTGCTTCCAGGAATTCCTGAGAAGACAAGGCAAGCACACTCAGCTCTTGAAAGACACGGAAGTGGGAGGAGCGGGTGGGGAGGAGGAAGGAAAAAGGAAGAAGGTGGGCTAGGAAGAGCAGGGAAAAGAAAACAAGGGCTACTTCAAAACCGCCCCGCAAAAAGGCCACCTGCGAGAACTGGATGCAGAGGAGTGGTATCTGGGAGTGAGTGTGTTGGTGCCCCTTGATGGGGGAGGAAGAGTAGCAGAACTGTGTAAGGGGAGCCTTGGCAGACTATCTCCATCCAGGACCAACACTCACAGGGTGGAGCTGGAGCCAGAGAGAAGGCTGCAGGTTCTTGACTCAGGGTCCCAGGCACAGTGGGGGTCCTTGGCAAGGACACATTCCACACAACTCTTGTAGACACTGCAATTGGCCCGGGGAACTCTCCAGACGCCTCCTGAGAAGCCTGCAAACACTGCACCCTGGGAGAGAGATGGAGGGGGTCAGAAGCGCCAGCACCCTGGCCCAGGCTCCCCAGGTCATCCCCACAGAAAGACCATATTCCGCTGGGGTCTCTTCTCACTTGGGTGGGGGGCCAGCTGCAGGTTTCGGGACAGGCTCGGGCTCAGGGCTCAGCTGGATCTCCTCCACAAGGTAAGCACTGCTGTTCTCCGGGTACCACAGCCTTGTGCAAGGACCCTGTGGCTAGGGAGACAAAGAGAAGGCGGAATGTCTCCTAACCTCCCTCACATACCTCCCCAGCAAGCCAGGCACAGAGCATCCAGGCCACTCAGTCCCTCTGTGGCCCAGGGGCAGAGAGAGAGGGGTGTGATAACCAGCTTTCTTTCCGTGTGTGTGTGTGTGTGTGTGTGTGTGTGTGTGTGAGAGAGAGAGAGAGAGGGAGAGAGAGAGATGTATGTACCTGCCAGATGTGCATGCACACTTGCACATGAACGACAGAAGTCAAAGTGAGCTGTTTTACTCAGTCACTCTACTAGGTTTGCTGAGACAGGATCTCTCCTTGAACTTGGGAGTCAGTCTAGACTGCCTGCCTGGTTAATAAGCAACAGGGAGCCCCCCATCTGTACCCCCCACTCCCCACCCCACATGCTGGGGTTATAGTACCCAGTGCAGCACCCCGGTTGTTCATGGTTCCGAGTCTCTGAGTTCAGGTCCTCACAACTGAGTCACCCATTTCCCCAGTCTCTTTCTGTCTTTTTTTTTTTTTCCTAGTATCGGGGTAAGTGAAGGGTTAAATCCAGGGCCTCTCACATGCAAGCAAACGCTCTCCCCTTGAGCTACATTCCTAGCCTCTCTTTTTAACCTTTTGAGACAGGGTCTTACTCTGTAGCCCAGGCTGGACTAACATGCAATCCTCCTGCCTCAGCCTCTCAAGTAACTAGGGCAAACAGGTTTGCAACACCAAGCCCTGCTTCTGACCACCCTTTTAATGGCTGCAACTTCCTGCCGGCACCCAGAAATCTGAGGCAGGAGAATTATGAGTTCCAGGCCAGCCTGGACTGTAGAATGAGACCCCGTCTCAAACAAAAACAAAAAGGGAGCAGGCGTGGTGGTCATGCTTTTAATTCCAGCACTCGGGAGACAGAGGCAGTTCTACATAGTGAGTGTCAGGCTGGCCAAGGGTTACATAGCGAGACCCTGTCTCAATAATAAAATAAAATGGCCAGGCAGTGGTAGAGCACACCTTTAATCCCAGCACTCAGGAGGCAGAGGCAGGCGGATCTCTGTGAGTTTGAGGCCAGCCTGGTCTACAGGAGCGAGTTCCAGGACACAGAGAAACCCTGTTTCGAAAAGCCAAAATAAATAAATAAATAGAATCATTTACAAAGCTGTTACTCCTCTGCGTAACAGAATGAGACACTGTCACTGAAGAAGGCGGACTCCCCGGGCAGGATCGACCTCACTCTGCTCTACCTGGTTTCTAATCCTGTAGCTAAAGCTCCAAGCAGTGTTCTCATTCAGAACTGTACGGTCTGTCTCCACCCACTCCACAAGCACGGGAGTTTCTGTGTCTTTCCTACTGTATGCTCAGCAGAGGCGCAGCAGAGACGCGCCTTCCAGCGCGGCCTGGAAGAGTGAATGAAGGAGCCACTTTCTCCCAGTAAAGCGCCCTGCCCTCCACTCTGGGCAACCTAGCCACACCCCCAGCTCACTGTCCCTCTCTTTCCAGAACCACTGTCAGACCCACCCTCTCTCCTGAACCTACCCTCACTCTTGGCTCCCGACCCTGATCCTCCTGCCTCCTAGAGGACACAGGCTTTCGGAGAGCCCAGTCTCCTGTTCCCTTCACAGCTTGACCTGCCAAGTGTCTCCTCTCTTGATCTCTCTCCACTGGGTCCTTTTAGTCTTTTCTATCTATTCAAAAGTGATGGGGGGCTGGAGAGATGGCTCAGAGGTTAAGAGCACTGACTGTTCTTCCAAAGGTCCTGAGTTCAATTCCCAGCACCCACATGGTGGCTCACAACCATCTGTAATGAGATCTGGCACCCTCTTCTGTGTACATAATAAATAAATAAGAACACACCCAGATGGTAGAGTGCTTGCCTGTAGGGCATGAAGCCCTGAGTTTGATACTCATACCACATAAAACCAGGCTTGAGGCTTGGTGGCATATATCTATAATCCCAGCATTTGCAAAGGTAGAAGCAGGTGGATCAGAAGTTCAGGGTCAGCCTTAGCTATATAGTAAGTTTGAGACCAGCAGGGGCTGCATATGACTCTTAAAAACAAACAAACAAACAAATAAATAAAATAAGGGCCTGGCTCCCACCTTCTCCAGGGCGCCTTGATGGCCCTTCAGTCACACTTCCTACTCTACCCCACTCACTCCTCCTGCGTCTGGTATGGCTCCTCCCAGAAGGCAGGCAGCTCTTTCTAAGACCAGAGAAGGTCCAGGGGTGCTTTTCCCCAGCAGACTGAAAGCTCAGAAAGGCTACAGACTGGATGGTTCAGCTACTCCACTGTGTCTCCAGAGTCCAGCAGGGGGCTCGCACCCTAAAACACCTGTTAAAGGAATGAACTGAACGTGTGGATGAACTCCAAGGCTTCCTGCCTCAGCCTGGGGGCAGTCCTGCTCTGGTCATCCCAGGTCTACTTCTGGAACCCCATACTCACATGTGCCCAGGTACATGACCACATGCCTGCTTCCATCAAGACCCTGAGCCGGTTTCCACTGCGAGCTGTGTGTACTCCACACCAGACTTCACCAGCAAGGGCCTTCCTACAACATGCTCGTCCCATCAGAAAATGGTCCTTCATGAAGGTCAAGGCTTTGTCAGAGGACGGGCCCGTGGAGCACTGGAGGAGGAAGGAAGCAGACTGTCAGCTGGCACTTTCCCTTCAGCTCACACACACACACACACACACACAACACACACTACCCTCCTTTGCCCTCTTCCCTCGGGATGCTCCTCAGTTCAAGGTGTGGGGAAAACTCAGACCCAGTGGCCCTAGGCTCCCCATCAGGTTGAAATGCCCCCAAATACATGAGAAGTACCCAGCGCAGGCCCGGCAGGCCCTGAGGACTGTGTTGGCCGTTTCTACTGCCCTGCTCCTCGGTGCCTGCATCAAACGCCAGCACAAAGCAGAGTGAAGGCTCCTTCAGGCTAAACACCCCGCTTTGCTGTCTGTGGTCCCAGGCACGGCACAGAACCCAGCACAGGCAGTGCTGAGTCAGTGACAGAATGGAGGTGTGACAGAGAAGGGCGGTGTGGCGGTTCTGCATGAACTCGCTTCGTGACTTGGGGGAGTTCCTCCTCCATTCCTCTTTTTTTCACTCATACTCGAGGGTGTCAGACCGGCTGTTCTCTGGAGGCCCTGTCAACTGGAGCGCATCTTTGCTCAAGATAATTGTCCTCCCTATCCAAGAGCATCGTCCTGAAGCCAGTCCCCACTGTCACCTACGAGCTGTGGAGTGTGCTTACTACAAGGTTACTACAAGTAACACAAGTTAATTCACCCCTTCGAGCCGCAAATTCCTCAACTGGAAAGTGAGGTGACAACATCTATATCCCACTTTTGTGCCAGCAGAGGACACATGTACCTATTCTTGCCTCCTGCTACAGAGATTTTTTTAAAGATTTTTTTTTTTTTTTTTTTTTTTTTTTTTGGTTTTTCGAGACAGGGTTTCTCTGTGTAGCTTTGCGCCTGTCCTGGAACTCACTCTGTAGACCAGGCTGGCCTCGAACTCACAGAGATCCGCCTGGCTCTGCCTCCCGAGTGCTGGGATTAAAGGCGTGCGCCACCACCGCCCGGCTTAGAGATGTTTTTAAAATATTCCATTTTATTACTCTTTCTTTAGGTGTATATGTGTGGATGTGTGCACATGAGTGCAGGCGCCTGTGGAGGCCATAGGCATCAGATCCCCGAGAGCTGCCTGATACGGGTGCTGGGAACCAAATTCAAGTCCTCTGCAAAACCAGCAAGCACTCTTAACCACCGAGCCACCTCTCCAGACTCTCCCACAGTTTTTAAAAATTCCAGGCATGGTATGGCTCTATAGCCCAGCCTGGCCTCGAACTCTCAATCTGCCTCAGTCTTCTGAGTGCTGGAATTACAGGTGTGAGCCACCACATTTTATGTAAGTAAGTGCACAGCCAAGGAACATCGGATTTGTAGGCAAAACTACAAACAAGAAAGACAGGAACTAAACCACACAAGAAAAAAAAGAAATTAAGACAAACCCAGGAGGAGGAAGCCAGGTGTGATGGCTCACACCATCACCCCAGCACACTCCAGCCTAACAGAGAAGGTTTGCTGTGAGTTCAAGCTGGTTATGCTACAGAGTAAGGCACACACACACACACACACACACACACACACACACCACACACACACACACGCATGCACGCACAACTAGATGAACTACATCACAGAAACATCACTAGGATCTAGACTAGACAACTCTACCAGACAAGTTAACTGTAAGACAAGGGGGCAGGGCAGGAGAGGGCTCAGACTGAGAAGGTTTGTGCTGTGTGGCTCACTCTTAACTCCAGCTCCAGGAGATCTGACATCTCTTCTGGCCTCCGCAGGCTTCTGCACATATGTGGTATACACATAAACACTCACATATATACATACACAGAAACAAAAAATAAATTGTCTAGCTATAAAAATAAATCTTAAAAAGACAATAAAATATAAATGATAAGAGACTTAAAAAAACAATCTAAGGCAGAGCCAGGCAGATCTCTGTGAGTTCGAGGCCAGCCTGGTCCACAAAGCGAGATCCAGGACAGGCACGAAAAGTACACAGAGAAACCCTGTCTCGAAAAAACAAACAAACCAAAAAAGCTGGGTGGTGGTGGTGGTGGGTGGTGGTGGTGGCGGGCGGCGGGCGGCGGCGGCGGCGGCGGCGGCGGCGCACGCCTTTAATCCCAGCACTTGGGAGGCAGAGGCAGGCAGATCTCTGAGTTCGAGGCCAGCCTGGTCTACAGGGTGAGTTCCAGGACAGCCGGGGGCTACACAGAGAAAACCCTGTCTGAAAAAAAAAAAAAAAAGAGAAGTGGGGATCTGGGGAGATGGCTTAATCAATAAATGCACAAGCATAAGGATCTGAGTTTGGGTCCCCAGATCCTCCTAAAAGCCAGGTGCAGTGTGTGCCTGTAACCCCATGCTGGGAGGTGGAGACAAGAGGGTCTCCAGGGCTTGAGGGACAGCCAGTCTAGCCAATCAATGAGCTCCAGGTTCAGCGAGAGCTCCATCTCAAAAAAAAAAAAAAAACCAGATGGGAAGAAAAAAAAAAAACAAGAAGGAAGGCTGGGCATAGTAGTCCTAGCATATGGAAAGCAAAAGCACACAGACTCTGTGAGTTCAAGGTCAACCTAGTTTAAATGGTGAGTTCTAGGCCAGCCAGGACAGCACAGTAAAAAAGAAAGAAAAAATGAGGGGAAGATGGTCAAACAATTGAGGAAGAAGCAGAACATCAACCTCTGGCCCATAACATGCACGCACACACATGCGCCACACACACACACACACACACACACACACACACACACACACACACCACATGTGCGCGCACACACATGTACACACACATGCGCACACACATACATATGTGTGTACACACACACCAAAACCCCTTTATGATATCTGTGACACCATTAGACTAATTGAAGTCTGAGCTGTGAATGGTGGCACACGCCTGTCATCCCAACACTTGAAAGACAGAGGAAAGAGAATAGTAGTTTTGAAGCCAGGCTGAGTTACATAGCAAAACCTGTTTCAAAAAATTAAATTAAAATAAGGGAGCTGGAGAGATGGCTCTGTGGTAAACAGTACTTAACTGCTCTTACAGAGGCTCTGAGTTTAGTCGCCAGCACCTACATGGTGGCTCACATTATCTGTAACTCCAGTTCCAGGGGATCCAGTGCCCACATCTGGACTCCTTAGGCACCCTCTGAAACTGTAAGCAAGCCCCCCAATTAAATGTTTTCTTTTATCATTTCCTTGGCCATGGTGTCTCCTCACAACAACAGAACAATGACTGAGCTAACGAGCATAAGAAAGTTTCTCAGAACTGAAGAAAATAATTGAGATTTTCGAGCTGAAGTGGTCCACTGGGCTTCCAGTTCAACACAGAGACCACGGGAGCTCCATGTGGAATATGTGAGCACCAGGGACTGGCCAGGTGGTTGGGCAGTAAAGGCGCTGGCTGCCAAGCCTGAGCCTGAGGATGGCCTGTGCTCTCTCCCTGGAAGGGAAGGAGGGAGGAGACTCCTTTAATTGCCCTCTGACCCCTCACACAAAATAAAAAAAAACAATCAAACAAATACATAACTTAAAACATTTAGGATACAGTGAGAGAAAACAAGTTACATCCAAAGGTTTAGGTGCCCACACAGCTTATCACATTTCCAAAGCAGCTCTGGAATACAGGCAAGAAGTGAGCCTTCCCTGGCGGTGGTGGCACACGCCTTTAATCCCAGTACTGGGGTGGGGATGGAGGGTTGGCTGGTGAGGTGGCTCACGAGGTAAATCTGACAATGGCAGAAGGAAATCAGGTCCCCAAAGCTGTCCCCTAACCTTCACACACATGCCATGGCACCCATGCACCCACACACGTATTCACAGACAACAAATACATAAAAATTAATTTTTAAAAAGTTTAGGGGTGGGGAGTGTGGCTCAGTGTCAGGGCACTTGCCTGGCACATGTGAGGCCCTGGGTTTGATTCTCAGAACTAAAAAGAAAGAGCCTGCCTGCTAACGCTCACGCAGAGGTTAGGGATAACACACTGGAAAGGAAGGGAACGGAAAGCCGATTTGCAGAATTTGCTAATTTCCAAGGTGCACACTGCCTTTAAAATGATTTCAAACCGGGCGGTGGTGGCGCACGCCTTTAATCCCAGCACTCGGGAGGCAGAGGCAGGAGGATCTCTGTGAGTTCGAGGCCAGCCTGGTCTACAAAGTGAGTTCCAGGAAAGGCGCAAAACTACAGAGAAACCCTGTCTCGAAAAACAAAACAAAACAAAACAAAAAAAAAAATGATTTCAAGCTACCAATGTTACGACAATGAGCAGGATTTTGAAAAGAGATGTGCAGGAGAAAGCTGGGAGTGTGGTGCACACCCGTAATCCAGGCACTTGGGATAGAAGTGGGAGGTGAGTTTGAGGCCAGCCTTGGACGGGAGTGGTGGTCCAGCATCAATCCAGTAGATGTCTTTGATTTTGTATTTATTTACCCATTCTGGTATCTTTGAGATAGAATCTTGCTGTGTAGCCCGGGCTTGCCTTGAATTTGCATTGATCCCCCTGCCTCGGCTTCCTCTGGAGTGCCGATATTACAGGCATGCACCACTTACACTCGGCCTATTGGAGTCTTTAAATACGTACACACATAATTCAGATGAAAAAAAAAAAACTACAGGAAAATACGCAGGTGAAAAGCTAGACATGGTGGCACACGCCTGGAATCTAGGCATTTGGGAGGTGGAGGCAGGTTATCAGGAGTTCAAGGCCAGCCTGGGGTACTGGAGACCCAGCCTGAAAACAATAAAATGTGGTGAAGCTGCCCCAGACTGTGTTTGGCACCCAGCCCACGTGCTCCTAATCCTTTGCTGATACAGCCAGGTATTTGGTGCTCACTTAGCACCGGGAAGAGGTGGTCCTTGTCAACTGTTCTGAATGTAGGGCGGTATTGAACATATGTGGCGTACGGGCTGGTGCATGGACATTTGCCCTGCCATGATGGTGCTTTCACATGCATTCCGGGAGGTTCTGGGAGGAGTAGGGGCTACTCACACTGCCTGGCCTCGGGTTGGCCTCCGGGCCCCTATAAGTGGTCCATCGGGAAGTTTCCTTGTTCAGCTCCTTGAACTTTCCTTTAAAGACTCGCTCAATGTCCGCAAGGGAGAAGGCACAGACCGCTGAGCTCCTGGTCTCACCAACCTGCCTGAAGACAGCCGGAGAGGGCATTCACTGTGGCTTCCTCTCCTCCACAGCCACTGCCCCTCCAGCCCAGGCAGAGCTCAGGGGAATCTCAGCAGGCCTGGAGGGCAGGGGGCAGGCCAGCCTCTGGAGGTTTGTTTTTCCTTGCTCATGATAAGGACCTGGGAGCCCCACGGGCTGCCCTGGCTCTGGACTGAGGCCTGGCTAGAAGCCCATCACAGGATCTGAAATATGATTGTTCCTAATGAGGATTAATTGGAGCATAGGCCCTGGGGTGGCCCCTGCCTGTCCTGCCCGGGCTGGGCTGGGCTGTGCCCACAGCAAGAGTGGTAGAACCTGCTTCAGGCTGGATTTACATGTAGCCTTCTTTAAGGCCCTTGGATTCTTGGTTCTCAGAGAGTGAACCACAGCTTTGTTATTTCTTCTGTCTTGGTCTCTCATACTCTCTTTAACACACTGGGGTCTCAGTTCTGAATCTCATGGATATCAGACCCTGCCTACCAGAAACCTTTTCTTCCTGGCACATTGTTAGCAGATGCCTAAACGTGGTGATGCCAGACCATTAGCAAATCAGTTAACCTTTCCTGGTCTGTGAGCAAGGATTTCCTGGCTTTTCAGTCAAAGTGGTCTTGGCCCCGGCCATTAGGAATCGGGAGGAGATAAATCTGTGGCTAGCATTACAATAGCATTTGTGCTATATACAGATCTTCCCCTGCCTGCTGAGAATTTCTCTTTACTTCCATTTCCTGACCTAATTGGTGGATTTTTTGTTTGTTTGTTGGTGACAGTCTCTGGTAGCCAAGGCTGTCCTCACTACGTAGCTGAGAATGACCTTGAGTGTCTGATCCTCTGGTCTTCTCTTCTCGTGGGTCCTTTGTACCACGAACACTGACTTACGTGATGCTGGGGATCCAACCTAGGGCTTTGTACACGCTAGGCAAGCACTATACTGACTGAGCTACATCACCAGCCCTTGTGTGTATTTGAGACATTAGTCCTCAAACTGATCCTCCTTCCTCATTACCATGTCTAGCTTTATTTTATCAATGTTTTTGTCTTGTTTAAGACAAGCTCTCTCTGCGGAGTCCAGACTGGCTTCCAATTCTTTATCCTCTTGCCTCTACCTTCCAAGTGCTGAGATCACAGGCATGCACCAGTCACGCTGGGTATTTTGCTGATTTTTAGTGTCTACCTTCTGTAAGCTTCCTTCCATCCTTTTTGGAACCAGGCAGAATAAAGCTAGTCTCTGAACGTTGTTTCTCCCTATGCATGAAAGACCGTAGGATCCCGGCAGTCAAATGCCTTTCTATGTAATGTGCAGTGTACAAAGCAGGCTTTCATCGGCTCCCGCCTCCCTGGGGTCCCTCCTCTTCCCTGCCCTGCTGCTCACCACTGGGAGGTAAAGACTGCATAGATGCGGGAAACTGAGGGCAGCAGGACCGCGTGGCGGATGATGTTGAATGGCAGCTGACCTGGCTGAGCGCAGAGCAATTGGGCCTTCAGGAAGGTGGTCCACTTCTTCTGCAGCAGCTTTTCCCCGCCCACGTCGTTCTAGGGGAAGCGGTGGAGTCATGGGACGGCCTTTTAGCCCGTGGACCCGCCCCACCCCCCTCTCCCCACTCCCATTGGCTCCCTGGCAGCCCAGCCCTCCACCAGACCAAAGGGCAGACCTTGCAGACTCGAGCCACCCTGGATGTGTACAGCTCCTCAAAGAAGTCAAACTCGCTGGCTGTCTCCTCGAAGAAAAAATAGACGACCTGTGTAGATGGAATGGCTGCCACGAAGGAGGCATCCGCTGTGGAGGCAGGACACATCGGTTTAGGAACTGAACATCAGGATGCTCAGGGTTCCCTTGGTGACAGGTGGGCTCTGAGGACCGGGACAGAAGTCTCCCATCCCACAGCCTGTTGAGGCATGTGTACTCTTTCCTTTTTGAGATGGGATCTCACTATAGCTCTGGCTGGCCTGAAACTCTCTGTGTGAACCAGGCTGGCTTCCCTTCAGAGACCCACCTGCTGCTGCCTCTGCCTCCCAAATGCTGGAATTAAAGTCGTGCGCCACCCCAGCCGGCTTCGTGTACTTCTTTAATTAATTTTTACCAAACAGAGCTGAGTGAATTAAAGCAAATCACAGACCCAGGGTCAGGAAGGGGGCCCAAACCCGTGTTGACTGGAATCAGGGCCTTACGGTGCAGCCAGCGTAGGAAGATATCAGTCTTGAGAACAGGCTGGGATCCCAGTGTGCGCATCAGGATGGGCTCACTGCCCAGGAAGTTGTTCATGGTGCCAGAGTAGAGCATCCCATCTAGGATCAGGGAGAGGGAGGAGAAGCAGGTGTATCAGGGGAGGCTGCCTGCCCTGCTCAGACATGCCTTCCTTCTATTCCGTACCCTCTCGCAGAACCCCAAAGCCCAGCTCATACTGTGCCCCCCCCAACACACACACAGAAGGCTCCCTTCTTAGATCCCTCTGGCCACAGGCAATGGCCTGTGACGCCTTTCGTATTGAGCATTTGCCAGCCTTTTTCTGGTCCTTCCTCAAACACCAACCCCAGAATATGACTGTCTGGTGCTCACACATCTTGGTCCCTGCTTATCTTTTCTCATTCTTTTTTTTTTTTTTTTTGGTTTTTTTTTCGAGACAGGGTTTCTCTGTGTAGCTTTGCGCCTTTCCTGGAACTCACTTGGTAGCCCAGGCTGGCCTTGAACTCACAGAGATCCGCCTGGCTCTGCCTCCCGAGTGCTGGGATTAAAGGTGTGCGCCACCACCGCCCGGCTCCTGCTTATCTTTTAAGCCTGCTCAAAAGGCAATGGCCATCTCCTGTAGGCAGCCAGGGTGGGAAGTCTGTGATGGTCTGTGTCTAGGCAGAGGCACACAACATCTTGGTCGTAGCCCCTTCAGTACCCAGCTCAATGTGTAACACATCAGGAGAGGCATCTGCCCATGCGCAGTGGTTAAACAAGTGGCTGAACCTCAGGGATCACCTGGTGACGTACTAGACCACTAGGCCTAATATGGATTTCCTTGCGCCCCTCTGGCGACAGTTTCAGGAGGGGCTAATGCCTGGGCTTCCTGGTTCTCCCTCTGATCCTGTCCCCCGAAGCTCCTGGTTCCCTCTGTCCTTTTCTTTGGAAAACTATCATGCCCCACTTTTCCCAGAGGGGCTGGAAAAGGCAAGTTTTAGTATGGTCTGGGAAGCCTGATACTCACCGACCAAGACAGCTGTGTGTTTGTGAACAGGGTCAAAGGGGCTTTGGCCCTTCCCATCCATGACCTTGTCCTTTAAGATGGGCAGCAGGGAGGAATCTTGGAGTTCCTAGAGGGGGGGAGAGGCTGGGAGCCCAGAATGCCAGGGTTGCACATCTCATAGATGAGGAGCATGAGGGAGGAAGTGAAAGGAACGGAGAGGGACGTCGGTCTGGGGCCAGGAATCTTGCGCGGGTCCTCGGGGACCAGAGATTCCCAAAGGTACCGAGAGTACCCTGGGGTGGGTGTGAGAAGACGTGTTGGGGGCCTGTGAGCAAGTGGGGCCTCAGGGAACTCACAATGAAGGCACAGGCAGGGCTGAAGGCAAAGGTCCCACAGGTGTAGAGGTGGGTGGCGTTGAAGGAGACCAGGACACGGATGAAGTTGAAACACTGCGTCTAGGGGGAGGCAGGGAAATCAAGTTGCCAGGCCTCTCACCCCAAACTCCTGGGTTCTTAGAGGCTGCTCCCCCATTCCCAGTGGAGAGAAGGGCTGAGATCAGCACTGAGGAGCTTGACAGGACGTGATCCAGGCAAAAATCACAGGGACAGGCCCTCCTGTGCCCACCCCTCGGGTCACCAGGGACGCTCCGAGCTACGCCAGGGTTCTGTAGCCAGAGTCCCTAAGCACTGACAGTCCACTCACCTCATTGCTCTTCTTCTTCAAGGCACATTCACTCTTTTTTCTCTCACTGGCTGGCCAGGGTATCTGAAGTGGAGAGTTAAGAGGAGGAAATGAAATGAAGTCTGGTTTTTCTGCACGCCACCATCCCCTCTCCAGCTCTGGCGTAAAAACACCAGTAAGGTAGTTAGTGGTGTTCAGTAGGCAGTCATAACGCCAATTTGATTAGGACTATAACTTCCATAATACTAGGGTTCATCAGGACATGGCTCTGTGGTAGAAGCAGAGAGATCTGAGTTCAAATCTAGGCTCTGCCACCAACGGACTGTGCACTCTGGCTTAGTTTCACAGCCCGCTGCTGGTTGCGGCTAGATGGCATGTCTAAGTGCCTGGCATACACAGCAGTGGCTATAAACCACACATTTCCTGGGGGAGGCTGTCAGCTCCTGAGCCACCCCTTAGAGGAGCTCCACAGGTGGAGTGCAGATATGAACTTAGGGCCTTCCGCACTCTACACAGCGTGCTCTGCCACTGAACTACACTCCTAGTCCGAGACTCTGGAATTTTAACCCATACCCCATATGTGCAGATGGCCAAGAGACCACCCACTAAGAAGAATCCGTGAACTGCGCCTTCCTTCCCCGCCCTGCCCCCTTCCCCTCACATGGCTATCATCGGGGTTGATAGCACTAGAACCGAGGATTTCTCTAGTAGGTCGGTGCACATCAAATTATTTGAGTCACTGATTTGAGTCAATGTTTTTCTGCTATGCCAGTGACTTCCGCATCAGCCTTTTCGGCAGCTGACGTGGCGCGATTGGTATTCAGGGCCTTGATAAAACAGTGAGACCACAGCGGCATTTCCATCCCAGCACTGCTGGTTCAGAGAGTGGCAGGTGGTTCACAGGAAGCAGCGCTGGTCCAGGGCAGCTGCTGTCCTCACTTCCCGCCAGCCCCTTTGTCTCGGGCCTCCTCACCATGTTCCTCAGCCTGGGGATTCCTGGGTTCTGGATATTCAGGGCCAGGATGGCCTCTCGAGCCCCCACATACAGAGTGTTGCCGTCGGCACTCAGGAGCAGGGCGTCAAAGTCTTGGAGGCCTTTTTGGTGGAAGAAGCTGAGGGCCCTGTGCCCATCTCCTGTTGGGAGGCAGGGATAAGGAGAGAGAGGATGAGGAGGAACCGAGAACAGCTGCTGATTCCCGAGATGGGGAGGGGAGGGGGGGCAGGCCTCAGTGGCTGGACCAGCTCTTCTATCGGCAGCCCCCCCTTCCCCTGAACCCCCAATAGCAGGCGTCTGAACTGTGTGTGCAGAGTCCCCAGAAGAGAGACGTGCCAAAGACAAGGTGGTGACAGTGTGGGGCTGGTGGAGAGCAGGGAAGCCTGCTCAAGACACAGATGGGAAATGGAGGGAGGTTAGAAGATGCATTCTCAGGTTTGAGGGGGGCTGCAGTGAGGCAGGATGGGAGAGAGCGGCTGACAGGTAGACACAGGAAGGGCTTCTCAACCACAGGCAGCAGAGGTAACCGTGGTCTGCTTCAAGACTTGTCACAGCTACAGATTCCTGCCACCCCCACCCCCGGTTCCCTCCCTTGCTCTGTTACAGGAATCCCCCACCACGCCGCCGCCACCACCGCCGCCGCCGCCGCCGCCACCGTGACGAGAAAGGCCATGTTCTCTCTCTGTCTGAGCCCCGTCCGTGTGGGCATGGCTGAACACCACCTGGACAGGCTAAGTATGTTGATTACTAGGGCCCGGTCACTACCTAGTGAGGTGGTGTGTGTGCACTTACACACATGTGTGAATGCGTGAGCCCCTGTCACACTGGCACTTCAGCTCCTCCCTCATGAGCACATTTGGACTTTTGGGTTAGTCAGAGGGCAGCCTGTGTTGGCCTCAAGGGATCTTAGGACCAAGAGGAATCGAAAGACCAGATGGGAAAGGTCCTGCATAGGCTGCCCTGCCCTGAACTCTGTGCTCCTTGCCCTGAGGCCTCATCCTGCTTCCCCTTGAAGCCCAGGCTTGCTCATGCTTACACTCCCATCCCACCCAGGGATGCCTCTTTCCACTAACACTACACCTCCTTTGCCATTCTGCCTCCGAAGCTGCGAACAGAACTGCCTAACTTCTGCGCTTCTGCGCGGGTGGTGTGGGGAGTGTGTGTGTGTGTATGTGTGTGTGTGTGTGTGTGTGTGTGTGTGTGTGTGTGTGTGTGTGTGTGTGTGTAGCGCTTCCCTTGGGGCATTTCCTAGAACAAGAGGGCTCAGAAGCCCCACAGCCCCAGCAGGAAGTCACGGAGACTGGGTGTCAGGCTCCAGCCGACCCCCAGATGAGCTGCCCAGGGCTCCTTCTCCTGGTGCCCATCCTACTGGACACAACCTGGCCCTGGCGTGAGCTCTGGGGTTGGCTTGGGGCCACCAGCTCCATAGACAATCTGGCCTGGGCTTTGGCTTTGGGACACCCGGAGCTGTGAAAGCAGCCAGGAATTTAGTGTCCTGCTTGGTGACAGTGTCACTTGAGGAGGGAAAGAAAAATCAGACTCAGCAGAAGGAGGGCGCCAGTGGGCCCGTCTGCCCTTCCTGATCAATCTGTGGTCTCCCTCCTCCGGGGCCCTCCACTGCTCCTTGGCGTCTCTGTCTCTCCACTCCATTACCCCGCCCCCCTCTGACGGCCCCTTCTCCTTTCTTGACCCCTCGTCTTTACATTGACATCCTCCACACCTCCCAGTTACCGGACACTCACCTGCGTGGTATTTGACTCTGGGCATGGGCCCCTGCCCACCAGTGCCCGTAGCAGGTCGCAGTGACAGCAGCAGGAGCAGGTGGAAGAAAAAAGCCCCCAGGAGACTCCAGGGGTCCTGGCCCGGGGGCGGTAGGGCCATGGTCGGACAGGAACTGTCGCCAGATGGTTCTGGGGGAGACAGGCGCTTTCTGGGTAAGCAGTGCTTACCACACCCTTCCTGAGGGCCAATAGGAGAGCCCCAGGGGGGCAGAAGTTCCTCTCTGGAAGGGCCCTCAGAGTCTCACTTCCATCCCACTGCCAGCCTTGACAGTTGCCTCCCGCTGCCCTCTAGATAGGGGCCCTGGCGTGGCCCATGCTGTTATCTCTGGTTCCCTCCTATTAAAAGTCCCCCTTGTCATTTCTCACCTGACACACAGTAAAGTACCTTCCCACTCTGGCCTCTTAGCATCTCCTGCCCCCATGGTCCAGAGCCCTGATCATTCCTGGCCCTGGACAAAGGGCTTCTGGGGAACTAGTTCCTGCATCCAAAGGGTAGGTCCCCAGGCTGGCCTGTCACTCAGCTGTGCCTATACCTTGTGCCTGCTACTCACCCCAACCCAGGCAAGCAGCCTACTCTTTCTCCAGCCCCCAGGGGCTCTGGCTCTTGCTTAATTGGGCCTATCTAGCCTTCTTCTTTGAAGTAGGGGCATGCCAGTTTATCTACCAGTTTGACCGTCTGCATTTCCTGGGAATGGCCTGGGCAGGAGTCACTGGCAGACTCCCAACCTCTAGAGCCCCCCCCCCTTGTCTCTATGCCTCTGCTGTCTGCCTCCCTGGAGCCCTGCATCACCCTCCCCCATGACCTCCGAATGCAAGTCGCCCACCTCATCTCACATACCCTTGAGCCAGCCACACTGAGAAGTCCCGAGTTCAAACCCTGAAGCATCCAAGGCAAAGGAGGGGGTCCAGGCAAAGACAGAAGGCTCAGCCTGGCTGGAATGGGAGCGCGGCCCTCCAGGCACCCATCCTGCGAGAGCCAGTGTGGGTTCCAGGCCAGGGAAACCAGAATTTCTACCTCGAGTTGTGACAGATCCTGGCTTGGGCGGAAGTTGGTGATGGTGGATCAGGGCGGGGAGATTGGGGTGGGGGTGGGGGGAGGGGGAGGCTCACAGGCTTGGTAGGAGACACACCTCCCTCCCTGCGCTTAGTCTATCCAGAAATTAAGAGTTTCTTCTAGGCCACTTCAGTGATGTCCTTGTCTCTCTGGCACACCACTTTCATTCTAACCAGCCTACGCTGTGGTCTCTCCTCTTGCTCAAGACAGCTCAGTATGACATTGTCTTTCATATTCCTCTTTTCACTGACCCTGCAGTGGGGTTCCCCCACTACTGAGAAACATCTCCAGGGGCCTCACCTTCCGACCTCCCACATCCCTGAAAGATAAAACATTTCAAGCCAGGCAATGGTGGTGCATACCTTTAATCCCAGCACCCAGGAAGCAGAGGCAGATGGATCTCTATGAGCTCCAGGACAGCCTGGTCTACAAACTGAGTTCCAGGACAGCCAGGACTACACAGAGAAACCTGGTCTCAAAACAAACAAACAAACAAACAACAACCACAGCAACAACAACAAAGCGCCCACATTGTATCAGGTTTGTATCTATGCCTTGGCTGAGGACACTCTCCTGTAATCGACCCTCGCCAACCTTCGGGCAGCATCAAGCCAATGGGAAATTTGAGAAATTTCCCATTTGAGCTCATGCTTCATGGGATGCACTTTGGAGATGAGACACTCAGCTGGAATGGTGGCTGGTTCCTCCTCCCCAAAGACTCCAGGGAAGACCTCATAACGCAGGGTTAATGAGGCGCCAAGGGCTCCTAGGCCAATAAAGACTGGTTGGACTCCTGCCCACTCACCCAGGTCAGCTGACTTCAGGTGGAAGGAGCACAATGACCCAGGCTGCTCTCCCTCCAGTTAGTACCCCATCTCCATCCTAAACACATTCCTCACTGCCAGGGTAGACCTCCCTGGAGGATAACCTCCACCCTTCCAGTTCCAGCTCCCAGGGTAGAAGCATTCCTTGGTAGAGCCCACACTTATCCCTTCCCTTCACACTTCTGCTCCCATCCTCTGCCATGGCCCAGGAGCTGGGCTCACACAGACCCCTCCTGAGGACTCTTCCTGTCAGAACTGGCTACGACTCCCCCAAACCCTGATGCTGATTGTCAGGACTCCGCCAAACTCTCTGTTCTCCTGACATGTCTTCTGAGTCTCCTTGACCTCCAGCTCAGTCTTGGGAAGCCACCACCCCAGGGCCTCTCTTTGGGGACAGATTGGCCTATCTGGGTCATGGGGAGGAGCCGTGATAGGGGAAGCCAGAGGAGCAGCTCCAGCGCCATGCTCTCTCCCCTATTCCTGTCCCTGGGTCTCCCCACAAGACCCAGTGCTATCCCTCTCCCACCAGACCACGTGAGGAGTCGGCAGGGGGCTTCAGGCCTCCCAGCTTTCACAGGCAGTTTTCACTATAGTCTTTTTACACAGAGAAGGGAAGTGAGACCAGGGACGCTGTCCAGCCAGCCAGCCATCTACCTCAGACCTGGCTATTCGGAAGCTCGCTCTACAGGGCTGGCTCCCATCTCCTGCCCTAGTGGATTAACTCGCTCAGAACTGATCAATGGATGGAGCAAGCATCAGGGTGGGAGCCTCAGGGGCTCCCTCTCCTCCAGCTGAGAAACAATCACCCTGGGATGATGCCTGACTCAGAAGGAACAGAAACCACCCCAAAGAGAGGCCATCTGATGTCAACCTCAGCCCAGGTACTTCCTGTCCCTGGGTGCCACCCACTCTCTCCTCATGGCACCTTTCAGGTCAAGCTCAGAGGAGAGGCAGGTGGGAGAAAGGCACACGGCCCCAACAGCACGTTCCTCACCCTTGGACCTCACAGTTACAGTCACACAGAGCTTTGTCATCAGAAGAGGCCATGCTTGGTAGACTCTCCTACTGCTGCTGCCTTGAGAGTCCTAATCATTTTTTTTAAAGGGGACTACATTTTCATTTACACTGGGCCCCACAAATTATGTAGCAGGTTCTGCTCACAGGAAGCTCCGAGCTGGCAAGCCACACACCCTCCCTTGCTACACAAATGAGGAAACCAAGGCCAGTGACCGGAAGCATCTGAGCCAGGGTTGGCGTCAGGCAGCAGGCAGTCTCTAGAGGGAAATGCCATTTTCACTGTCCCATTCCTGTCCTCCCAACTCGATTCTCCATAAGGCCTGGAGCTCAGCCTGGGGGAATCCCCAGGCGTACGTCAGCCCCTGGAAATCACAGTATTAAACTTAAGCACCCCATGTCAGATTCCAGTCCCCCCCCAAGTTCTTCCCACAACCCCTAGACCATAAAGGAGAGTAGCCCCTTCCTGTGGGATTTGATCACCAAAAGTAGAGATGGGAAGCAGGGGTGAGGAGGGAGGGATGTTGAAGGGTTGATCCTCACCGTACCCCTTGCTGCTCTGGAGCCCCTGCCTTGTACAGATGTCTCATTAAGAGAGTCAGTACAGAAACCAGCCCTGGCTTCACCAGTGACTGGCAGGTCTAGTTTTCCCAGCCTCCTTCTCTTCCTAGCCTTAGGGGCAGCCCTCAGGAGAGCAGGGTCTTGGGGAAATATCCTTTTCCTGCTCTGCTTTCAACCCATGGCCCTGCCCTTCTCTTATGATTATAGCCAGTCAAATCAACTTACATAGATAAGTACAGTGTGTGTGTGTGTGTGTGTGTGTGTGTGTGTGTGTGTGTGTGTACACTAAGGGTGTCCCCAGTCTGTGTCCCTAGCACCCCCCACCTCTTCCTGTTCCTGCAGGTCTCCAGCGTTCTTACCACCCACCCCATTCCATCCACCTAACCCCTTACCCAGTGCCTCTTGGGTTCCCTCTCCCAGTCTGGCTAGTGCTGGAAGCTGCGTTGAGCATTACACACAATGGTCTGACTTCTCCGTCCGCCCCTCCTCAGGGCAGAGTCAGCGCCAGACAATGGCCCGCCCCTCTGCTCCGCACTGTCTGTCGGCTCTCCCGCTTCTTACCTGGAGCCCGGGATGCCGCCGCGCTTCCCTCCCCCTGGAATGCCAGGCGGCTTGGCTTTCCGGTCTCCCAGTGCCTCCTTCCCGCCACCCTCCCACCCCCATCCCCAACCCCATCCCACCTCACTGGTCCTTAGTCACCATGGCGACCGCATCTCTAAGTGGGAGGGACTAGAATCTCCCCATATTCTTCCTCCTCCTCTCCTGTCCCACTGTGCCCCACTTCTGTGGCTCCTGGATTCTCATATGTGTAGGCAGGACTCCAGATGTGACAAAAGGGGATACTCTAACCCCCGGGTCCCTGCTCAGCTCCTTTGCCCACCCTCAGGCAAACCCCAGTGTGCAGGTATTGGGTTAGGAGACCACTGAGGCAATCTCCTTTATGGCCAGTTTCTCTTCATCTCCAGCTTTCCTAAGTACTACGAATGCATAAGGAAGATGCACCTGGATGCTAGCCAGTCACCTACAACTGGAGTTTACCAATGAGGATGTATGCAAACACATCTGCGGATGCAGGGCCTCCACCAAGAGCTGAGGAGACCATCTTCATTGGTTCCCGACCTCTGGGGGAGGGGCTACTCTTCTCAGGTCCAGGCCCTGCATTTCTTTCCTGTGTCTCCAGACGCCCTCAACTAACACCCCCTGGGACTCAAGAAGGTCTGTGCTGTAAGAGATGGATAGGAGGCAGACTTTAGAAAAAACTTCCTAAAAGTCTAGCAGTAAATAGGAACAGATTAGAAACAACTCTGACCTGGATTCTTCTCATTTGGAAAACAGCAAAGACAAGCAGAGGTTTGGATGAGCTTTAGAAGCCTCCCTGCTCCTAAGTAACCCTATCACCGGAACTCCTGTCCCCGCAGGACCTCAACTTCTTCAAGAAAGGGTGGAACTAGGAGAGACCCTGCAGGCTGGCTTCCTAGGAGTTCAGGACTGCCCACTGGGCACCGTGGGTCTAAGAAACAGAGTCTTTGGGTGCCAGCCTGGCAGTCTATAACTTACTGTGTGATCCCAGGTTGGGCCCTTGTCCTCGCTGACTCCCATAAGTAAAAGAAGGGCCCTTCAAGCCACCTGCGAGCAGACTGGCTTTTCAGCAAACTTCACAGTATTTTCAGGAAAAAGGAAGGAAATGAGTGCCCTGGAGGGGCCAGGCAGGGCAGGAGGCTTTACAGGCCAATCCTGGTTCCCTTTTAGGTCTAGGTTGAGATGGGGGTGAGCATTTCCTTTCAGGGTGGGATGAAGAGGATGTGCCCTGTACTGAGGGTAGAAACGGACTCAGCGGGGCCACCCGCAGGCTCCTGCTTCTGAACCTCCAACCTTTGCTGTCCCCGAACTCTGGGCATGGGACCTGTGTCCATGAGCTCCGGGAGTTTGCCCCAGGCACTTGAAGAAATGAAGGGGGGGTGCATTAGAGGCTGATGCAGAAGAACTCATCTCCACGGAGGTCCTTGACTCTCCGCCACCATCACCTTCACCCCCTAGGGGAGTTGAGCCCAGTCTTTGTGGCAGGATTGGAAGGGACTGCCTCCCAGAGTAATCCAAGAAAACGGGGTGCCTACAGGTCTCCTTGGCTCCATGGTGTTCAGGTCTTCCCTGCCTTACCCTGGAGCTAAGCTCTCCAAACATGAGAACAGGGCTTTCGGCTCCTGTGTGGCCATGGTTGGAGAGGGGACTGATTGAATGGCCTAACACCGGCCGGTTCTCTTGTTTCCAACTCTCAAGAAGAAAGGAAAAAGCCATCGCCTCTACCACTACGAAAGCAGTCAGTTTCCTGTGATTCCTAGCCTCGGTTTTCCCATCTGTGGGAAGATGGGGTAGCCACTATCGTTGATTGTGGGAGGGACAGTGAGTGGCTGGTGGAGTTTAGCAAATTAAGGTCCCTGGGGGAAATGAGATTGGGAGGGAGATAAAGAGACCCAGGCAGACTGTGGCTGAAGAGTCATCCCTAAAGATTCTGGGTATGCTCTGTCCCCCCAAAGAGGCAGAAGAGACATACCTCACCCCACCATGGTATACTAAAGCTGGCATTCAGACACTCCATGTCCAGGCATATCCCACTCCCCCCGCCCCAGAGATCATGTTCCCTCCCCGACCACTTTTACACCTTACCCCCAGAGGTACAGACTCTAACCCAGGCGTCCGAGAGTTCCAGTAGAGTCTGTACCCGGCAGGGCGGAGCAAGGGCAGCCATGGTAGGGGAGAGGGCCTGCCAGCCCCCTCCAGTGCCCCAGTTCCCAGGCAGCTCTTAAAGAGACCAGGAAGAATTAGCCACAGGCAGCTTAAGGGGTGAATGTAGAGGGAAGGAGACAGCAGGGCCTGGGGAGCAGGGCGAGAGCCTGACACCACCCCGCCGTCCCTGAAAGCCCCCAGACTTCTCCGTCCATCCTATTCCTCACTCCATGAGAACTGCCATGCTGGCCACCCAGCTCTGACCATTGCCTCCCACATCCAGGCCCTTGTTCCCCTTGGGCTCCTGCCCACTTCCTCCCCTCCCCCATATTCATGCCACCTCAGTCTCTAGTGAGGGATGCCAGCTGGCACTGGCTGGAACGAGGTATGGAGAGCAAACCCAAGAAGTGGAAAGACCTGGGGCCGAGCTGTAGGGGGAGGGGCCGTCCCCCATGGTCAGTCTGGAGCTGGTGTAGGCATTCAGTGGGCTCCCAGGTCTTCTCTGACCCTCAGGCAGAGAGAGGGGAGACTCTGGACACCCCTGCTTCCTACTTCTGATGACCATCAGTGCTGTGACAAGAAAGGGGAAGGGAAATATGGTGTAGAGGTTCAAGCCTGTAATCCCAGCTCTTGAGATGGAGAAGCGGAAAGGTTAGGAGTTGAAGTATGTGAGTGGCACACACCCTTGGTTCCAGCAGACATAGGTGGATCTTCGTGAGTTCGAGGCTAGCCTGGTCTACACAGTGAGCTCCAGGACAGCCAAAGTTGCCTGGTGAGACACTCTTTCACGACAAATAAACAAACAAAACACACAACAAACAAAAAGGATGGTCGAGGCCAGCCTGGGCTACGGGAGATCTCATCTCAAAAAGAAAAGAAGGCTGGGGAGACCTCGGCTCAGTTGGGAGAGTGATTGACGTGCAAGCATGGTTCCCTGGCACCCACATAAAAACGTCAGGGGTAGCAATGCACCCCTATAATCCCAGTTCTGCGGAGGAGGGGGCAGAAAGATCCCTGGGTCTTGCTGCCAGCCAATCTTGCCCAGTTGCTGAGCTCTGGGTTCACCTGTCTAAAAAACGAGGCAGCGAATGGGTCTGGAGAGAGACTGCTCTGGCTGCTCTTCCAGAGGACCCAGGCTGGATTCCCCACACCTGCGTGGCAGTGGACAAACTGTAACTCCAGTCCTAGGGGAAATCTGAGGCCCTCTCCTGGCTGCCACAGGACTGTGTGCACATGGTGCACAGACATACAAATAGGCCAGACACTCACACACACTAAAAAAAAAGTAAAGAACAAAGAAAGACAGCAGACAGAGAGAGGCAGCCCATATCTGTCCTCTGCCTGGGTGGTTAATTCTGGAACAGGTTTCACACTTCCTGCCTGAGGAGACAGTGGTAGTACCCGAATACCCCGGTCCATTCTGAGCCTATCTTTCTTTAGTTCCTGTTGCCTCTGTCCCTGACCTGGCATGACTCTGTTTCCCTCATCCAGTTCACACCCAGCCCAGAGATCCCTGTCCTCTGCAAACCCCTCCATAATTGCCCCACTGAACTTGGAATTGCCACAGCATTCTCTGGGAGTCAGGAGCCCTGAGGGACTTTAGCTAGACTCCCTCTCCACTGCATCCTTGCTGCCTCGCTTAGAAGGAGCAGTAACAACCAGCCTACCAAAGCTCTCTCTCTCTCTCTTTCTCTCTCTTTTTCTGTTGTTTATACAAAGTCTCTATATATGGCCTGGCTGTCCTGGAATTCACTATGTAGACCAAGCTGGCCTCAAACTCACAGAGATCTGCCCACCTCACCCTCCCGAGTGCTGGGATTGAAGGCTGGCATGACTATGTCCGGCCAGAGGCAGGTTTTTGTGCTTGGCTTTGCCTACCATTGTCAGAACCGGGGCTTTTATACTGTGCACTTCGAGGAGACATTGAGGGCATTGGGCGAAGCAGTTGTCAAGCCACCCTGCTGCCCAGGAAAGAGTAAACTGCACAGAGGGAGGGCTAGGGTCCAGTTTAGGAAACTGGGGTGCTAATTTGGGTGGGACAGCAGCAAGAACAAACTGTAGTCCACATGGATTTACAAGATAAAAATAGGCTTTTGAAGAAAAAAATAGGCTTTTGAGTGTTGGCCTTTCCACCTCACTAGACCATTCCCATTCTTGGGAGCATTTTCTCTTTCTCAATAAGCTGTCTCTATGTCTATGAATTTGAAAAGAAAGACTTCAATAACGACCTAGAGTGGGGCATGATGGCACATGCCTACAGGTTCCAGCTACCAGGAGGTTGGCGTAAGAGGATCAGTTGAGCTTAGGAGACCATTCTTGGCAACAGAGAGGAACCAAATCTAAAAGGTGGAAGGAGGGGCCGGAGAGATGGCTCAGTGGTTAAAAGCACTGGCTCCTCTTCCCGAGGCCCTGGGTTTGATTCACAGCACCCAAATGGTGGCTCACAACTGCCTGTAACTCCAGTTCCAGCGGATCCCATACCTTCTGTCTCCTCAGGCACCAGGCATGCATGTGGTACACACACATACAAGCAGGCTAAACACCCATACACTCAAAATATGAAAATTAATAAATCTTATAAAAATAAAAAGGTGAAGGAGAGAATAAAACAAGAAAGGAAGGAAATAAATACTTGGTAAAATGCCTTCTTAAAACCCTAAGACCTGCCGGGCGGTAGTGGCACACGCCTTTAATCCCAGCACTCAGGAGGCAGAGGCAGGCGGATCTCTGTGAGGTCAAGGCCAGCCTGGTCTCCAAAGCGAGTTCCAGGACAGGCACCAAAGCTACACAGAGAAACCCTGTCTCGAAAAACAAAAAACAAACAAAGAAACAAAAAACCCAACAACAACAACAAAACAAAACAAACAAACAAAAAAAAAACCAGAGAAACAAAATCCTAAGACCCTGAGCTCAGGATCTAGAAGTGTTTGCCTCATAAACCCAGGGACCCGACTTCCAACTCCTCAATCCACATAAGAATACCAGGTGTGGTGGTGCGTGCTGGTAATCCCAATGCTGGGGAGGCAGGGGGAGGGGCTGCAGCTCATTGACCTGCTAATCTAGACTAATAGGTGAGCTCTAGACCAATGACAGACCTTATCTCAAAGGAGGTGAACTGCCTTCCTGAGGATGACACCTGAGGTTGTCCCCTGGCTTTATTATGCATACACACACTTAATTCCCAGCACACACACACACACACACACACACACACACACACACACACACTTAATTCCCAGCACAGAAAAGAGTGCATACTGATCTTACAGAGGACCCAAGTTTGGATCGCAGTACCCACAACTGTTGGCTCACACCATGTGCCACACCAGCTCCAGGATCTGACGCCCTCCTCTGGCCTCTACAGGAACCTGCATACAAATGTGTATACATACTTGCATATACACACATAAATAAAAATAAGATAAATATTTCTTTTAGCGGGATGGCGGTGGCACAGGCCTTTAATCCCAGCACTCAGAAGGAAGAGGCAGGCGGATCTCTGAGTTCGAGGCTAGCCTGGTCTACAGAGCGAGTTCCAGGATAGTCAGGGCTGTTATATAGAGAAACCCTGTCTTGAAAAACAAAACAAAACAAAAAACAAGAAAAAGAAAAACAACAACAGCAAAGTACAGATTGGTTTTGCTACGGAGCTGATGTGGGGTGGAAGAGGCAGCAGAGAGTCAAGGATGGCTCCCGGGTTCTGAGCCTGGGTAACTGGACAGAAGGGTGATGTCATCGGTGCTCCTGGGGAAGATTCTGAGAACATCTGGAAGCTGGTGATCAGAAGGTCACCTAGGATCATGGACCCTTAACACTTCTATATTTGTTCAGATTTTTCTTGGGCCGGGGAGTATCTCCTGTAGCCCATGCTGGCCTCACACTTGCCATGTAGCCAAAGATGACCTTAAAACTCCTGATCTCCTGCTCCATCTCTCAAGTACTGGAATGGCTGGTGGAAGCCACTTGGTCACATTAACTTTAAGATGCCACTGGACCTTTAAGTGGACAATCTGGGTCTTCAAGTGAGTGCTAAAGAGAAGGAGTGGCCTGAGAGTTACTGCAGCATGTGTGATACTGAAAGTCACTAGCTTAGTGGAAGGCTCTTGGCTTTAAGTGTAGACAGAAAACCGAGCCTAGGGTGCCCCACGGCCCAGTGGCCCCGGGAGAGAGGGGGAATCAGTGAAGTTGTCTAAGAAGGATGCCTCACCTGGGACAAGAAGGTCAAGTAACTTGAGGACCGAGAAGCGGTCATTGGGTTTACAGCATGGACTATTGGGACATTGGGGACCTTGGCAAGAGCAGCTGGTGGTGTAGCCCAGGACACATGGCAGCATCTGTGAGTGAGGATGAGGATGGGGGGTCCGAAGAGAAGGGGTCCAGGGGTAGGGACGCCTGAGCTGGTAACAGCAGGGTCAAGAGAGTGCAGTCATGACTGAAAAATCGGTCAGCTAGCTGGGCGTGGTGGTGCACACCTTTAGTGCCAGCACTTGGGAGCCAGGAGTAGGTGGATCTTTGTGAATTTGAGGCCAGCCTGGTCTACAGAGTGAGTTTCAGGCCAGCCAGGGCCACATAATAAGACTATTTCAAAAAAGGAAAAAAGAAATTCAGCAGCAGAATTGTCAGGATTCTGTCCCACAGATTTACCTGACATAGACATATGTATTCATATGTATATGTGTGTGTGTATCAGAAGGAAAGAGAGAGAGAGAGAGAGAGAGAGAGAGAGAGAGAGAGAGAGAGAGAGGATGTAATGAGTCTGTCAAATTCTTCCTTAACATCTGTGTTTACCTCATAGCTTGCACAGATTATTGCGGCTGTAAAGTCTTAGTTGGTCCTAGATGGAAATGTTCTTTCCCCCCCCTTTTTGTTTTTTCAAGACAGGGTTTGTATAACAGCCCTGGCTGTCCTGGAACTCACTTTGTAGACCAGGCTGGCCTCGAACTCACAAAGATCCACCTGCCTCTGCCTCCCGAGTGCTGGGATCAAAGGCGTGCGCCACCACTGCCCGGCTGGGAAATTTTCTTTTTCGTGATGAGAAGTGTCCTGTAGAGACTCAGGGCTGGTCAGCTCCCAAGATAAGCAACTGATACTGTGACGTAGTTGACTGTTGTGTAACAAACAGTCTTCCTGAGGAAACGTGAAAACATG